TCTGAAAACCAGATTATCATGAGAAAATACTGTAAAAAATGCATTCTGACATTTCAGAGAACCTTGAAAAACTCAGTAGATTCCTAGACACACATGATTTACCAAAATGGAAACAAGGAAGAATGAAAACACTAAGAATCCAGTGAGGCAAGGGATTAAAGGTAGTCTCTTAGTTACTTTTATCATCGATGGAGCAAATTATATGACATCCAAAATGAAAGGTGGAAAGGTTTACAGTAGCAGTTTGTAGAGGTTTCAGTTCAAAGTTGCCTGAGTGGCATGACAGAAGAGAAAAGTTCATCCCAGGCAGAAGGCAGCAAGCAGTGAAGTAGGGAAGCAGCAAGTGACAGCAACAATCCTCATTCTATCACTTATCTTCTACTCAAATGCCTTAGGGTGGGTAGTAAAACAAGGGTGGGCCTTCCCACCCCTCCCCTAAAAGCAGGCCAAGCCAAGCAATGGACTAATCTAGTAATCACATACCCTTAATCCAAGCAGCAAATGCTTAATCCCAGGTTCACATACTCTAGATCCAGTCACCTCCAAAAAGCACACATGACAAAACGAGGCTTTGGTGGGCCATCTACACACAAGCCATGTAGCTACTAGGACCAATCCACCAACTGAGCAAAGCCAAAGTCTTGACTGATTCACCATTGAATGCCATAAGAACTTCAGGGAGGATTTAAAGCTAATCTACTGCAAAACCTTAAGAGAATTGAAAGAAAAGGCATACTTACAAAGTCACTCTAAGAAGTTAGGATGACAGTGATTCCAAATCCAGATTAAGACCCAATTCATTAAGAGAGTTCATGAACACAAAATTCTTCACCAACATATGGGTAAATGCAATGCAACACATTGTCAAAAACTTCAGATCATACAACCAAGTACCTTTCACCTCAGAGATGTAAGAATGGCTCAGAAACCACAAATGGAATACATGACATAAAACAAAGGATTAAAAAAATCAATCACATGATTGTATTACTGTGGCAGAAAAGGCTCTGGACAAAATCCAACATCCATTTATGATAAAAACAAATTCCCAGGAAAAGTGATATAGAAGGAGCATATCTCAATATGATAAAAGTAATTCATGAAAAATCAACTGCCAACATCCTATTAAGTGCTAAAAAATGTTTTCCCCTCTAAAATCAGAAACAAGAGAAAATTCTACTATAATCACTCTTGTTCAGTATAGCATGTCAAACATTACCCAGAGGAATCATGCAAAGGAGAATGATACGAATAGGAAAGGAAACAGACAAATTATCCCTCTTTACAGAGGACATGATGCTCTATATAGAAAACAAAAATCTAACAAAGACTCCTACAAACAATAACCAAATTCAGCAGTGTAACACAATATAGAACACACATGTAAAAATCAAAGTTCTCCTGTATGTCAATAATGAATCCACTGGAAAACAAACAAGGAAAACAATACTGTTCACAATAGCATCAAGAAAGATTACAGATGTAGGAATTAACATAACAAAAAAGAAAATAAACTCTAGGACAAAAAGCACAATACTCTTAAAAAGGAAATTCAATGGGAAATCAGGAAATTGAAAGACATCCCTGCTCCTGGACAAGCAGAAATAGTATTGTCAAAATAGCCCCACTTTCAAAACTGATATGTAGATCAAATATAACCCAAATCAAACTACCAACAGTGGTGTTCACACAACTAGAGAAAACAATCCTAGAATGCACTGGGATCCAGAACACACCAAGAATAGCAAAAGAAACCCAGGAACAAGAGCCAAACAGGAGGCATCATAGTCCCAGACTTGAGGATGTCTTATAAAGATGCAGTGATAAAAAATGAAGCTAAATGCCATGGTACCAGCACATAAACAGACATGGGAATCAGTGGCATGGACCAGAGGATACAAAACCAGTCCTGGGTGCATTCAGCCTTCTGATCCTTGACAAAGTGGCCAAGGATCTGTGCCAGAGACAGAAAGCCCCATGAGCAAATGCTGGGAAGACAGTTCGTTCACAGGAAAAAAATACAATCTAGACTCAAATCTTTCCTCATATGTTCAACTCAAACCAAAAGAGGTCAAAGATCTACAGGTAAAAACAGAAACAACCTACTGGAAGATAACATAGGTAAAACCATAGAAATCATAGGTGCAGGAAGGACTTTCTGACCAGAACTCCAATCACCCAAGAAGGGAAGCAAACATCCACAAATGGGACTGTATCTTGTTTGGAAACTTTTGCACATCATAGGAAACAATTGATGGAAGGACTTAACAGAGTGAATGGGAAATTCTCTCTCTCTGTCTCTCTCTCTGTCTCTCTCTCT